CGATGGTCAGAATCCTAAGGAGGGACAGCAGGGTCAGCGATGGTCAGAATCCTAAGGAGGGACAGCACTGGGTTTGAGCTGGTGGTTTCTGCAGGCTGCTGGTCCGCGCAGCAACAATGACATTGGAGCATTAGGACATCCTGAGGCCCCACACGGGGAAGCTGCGCGTGAGGGTTTGTGAGCTCAGAGTGCCTCTGGGGCCCCACGTGTCACTGAATAAGGAAGGCAAGAAGCTTAGCGAAGATTAGCAAGAGGAAGGACACTCTATTCCTTAATGCCACCTAATTTTTTAATTTTAATGTTAAGGATTGTCGTCCTCTTTTATTTCTACCCTACGTCTAGAAAAAAAGAAATGGATTGATGTTTTTTATCTTTGTAATATGAATCAACAATAAGTTAACACTTTGCTTTGTAAAAAGTCCCTCAGTGTTCATCATCAGACAGTCATGGCAAGTGACATAATATAAAACTTTTAAAACTAGCATACAGTGGAAAGAATTCAAAGCACCTAGGGACTTTATGTTATCTTGATAGTGCTAGACACGGGCTTGAATTATAGGGTACTTTATTCTCTTGAGCTATCAGGATTTCATAACATAATACATAATGTTATAGTGGCCTTACAGCATATTTCTCTTGTAAACATATGAGGAATTTAAAATAGAAAACTGTAAAAGACTAAGAATGTATTTTTACTTCTAGTAATAAAAATGTTTGCAGTTTTATCCTTCTATTTTAATAATTCCAACTGCAAGAATTCTACAAGTAAATAAATAGTTTTTAGAAGTTGTACTTGAATGGGTTGCAGGCTGCTTGATGTCATGAAAGTTTAATCTAGGAGTTCTCAGTGTTCAAAATACATCTTTGACTCAGCCTCTGCCTATCCACATTTATGGCCATTTAAATAGGCTGGAGTTTATACATCCAAAGGGAAAACATTTGTTAGCAGTGATTTGAAATATTTGATATAGAATTTATTTATACTAATTTAGAGAACTATTTTAAGCATTCACAAATACTTTTACCAACAACCACTTATTTAGAATCAGTATACTAGAATAATCACAAATAATCTCTAAGGAATTCTAGTTAGCACTTTACTATTCAGCTTTGGTTACTATATTTCTTTAAAATTACAATGCTTTCTCTTTTCAAAACTCATTCAGAATTTTTCTCTAATTTAAAATGCCTTTTGCTCTCCCGTTTATGCAGGTAAATGAAGTTTTTTTTGTTTGTTTTTTTTGGTTTTTTTGGCCGGGGCTGGGCTTGAACCTGCCACCTCTGGCATATGGGGCCAGCACCCTACTCCTTGGTTAATGAAGTTTTATTGTAGGTGTATAGCATGGTATGACTTCATAAACAAATTCCTACAATGTAGTATTTAATTGATTAAAAAAATGAGCTAAATTTATTTTTATGGAAGAACCAAAATGGGAAAGATGCTTAAAATGAACAATTAAGTCATGTAGAATTTTTTGTACATATTATATATGTGTGTATAATGGACTAAAGCTTTTCCATTTCACAGCTACAGAAGAGAATTTAACAAACAAACACGGAATCTTGAATAATAACTCATTAGAAAGTTCTTTGTATTTTATAAGTTTGTAGAGAAGTGCTTCGTCTCTTCATTTCTTCACTGGAAGTGGAATTTTATGAATCCCATTTTCAGATTTTATCCCATTCAGATTTTATCTTAGGTTATAGGTTTTTACAGCTAAATAACTTTTAAAAGTAGAGGAAACATGCATTATTTTTAAGAAGTAAATAAACTTCAGCTTTCACTTTGAATTTATAATAATATCATCTGTATCTGTCACGTTGCCTTTTCTTAGGCTGTTATTGCAAATCAGGCTATGAGGGTTTTTTGATATTATTTTTGTACGTATATAGAATACCCTAACTTGGGCTATTTTAATAAATAGCAATTTATTTTGATAATAAAATAAGTTTTAAAAATTAGTTTTGAAATAGAAGGACATATATATATGTTATATAATACACACACAAGTAGTTATTTTTATGTGTATTTCTCTTTGCTACTCAGAAAAAGTAAAATTCTTACTTGTAACACTAGTTTTCAGTTACTTACTTATCTATCCGTAGTACTGGTCATGTCCTTTATCCTAGAAAATTGACTTTTGTCGTTGCAAGCATTTAAAATATTTCACTGTTTTTCAAAGGCAGCTAGATTGGCTCACTGGTGTCCCTCTCACCTCGTGTCTACTGCCCTCAGAGTGTTACCGATAGATTGTGGAACCTCAGAACTTACTTGCCCAATTTATATTGTTTGAACTCACTCTATAAGTAAGGCATTTTATTAAAATTAATAGCTAGATAATGCAGTTTTATGTATCTGCATAAAACTCATGAGGCTTGAAAAACTGGAAAGCATGACCACATCAGTGTGAAAAAATCACATGGTCAGTTTGAGCTCCAAGATTTGGACTTTCTGACATGCAGCTGTGCAGTATCTGCTTGAGTTGATCCTCCTGTGCTTAATTGCTAGGAACTGGGACAAAAGGAAACTTAATTCTGCATAATTAGAGAAATAAGCCCTGCGCCTGACATTGTTTTAAGTCAATGGAACTATCTAATCTATGTGGAGATATGCAATATAGACCAATAGCATAAAGTTATTATGCACAAGTTTTATTTTCAAATTGAATTAGTTTGAATTAATAATTGAAGACTGTGATTCTAAAAGTTAAGTCATAAATCACTTTATATTTTACTGACCTGTCTTACAAAATTAAAATTTTTGAAAAGTGGCCTGAATCCTTTGTGGGACAAAATTAAAATGATTTTACTTTCTTTCCACTTTAGTTAAAAAAGAAAGACTTGACTTCATGCAGTTTTTATAAGTTATTCTGAATTTTTAATATTTCTATGTAATTCCATTATGTCATTGTTAGTTAGCTGTTTAGTTGGGATTATAATAGTTGTAGTAACTCCTCTCTTTATAATATTTAATGGCTTTCTAATTTTTACATATACATATATCCTCTTTTCAAAATGAAAATGTATGATCTTAAACTTGTCTATGAATGAATATATCACTATAAAATATTGACTTATTCCTTCATGTTTCAAGAGTTTATTTAAAATTTTTTGCTAGTTCTGAAGTATTATCAATTAATTTTTCTTTCAGTTGCACCACTTTGTTTTCTATACCATGAACCTTCCAAGTTGTATCAGATATTCCGTGAGATGTACGTGCGGTTTTTCTTCAGACTTCATTCCATCTCTTCTCATCCTTCTGTAAGTTCATAAAAAAATGAATCAAATCAGATTCTAATCTATTCGGTTTTTCTTTAAGAAAAAGTCTTCTACTCAATTAAGTTACAAAGCAACAAATTGTTCTTTGTGATGTCAAGTAACATGTTTTATAGCACAAATTAAAGAGAAGATGAAATTGCTATTTAGATCTTTTTGGTAATAATTAGAAAGGAAAAAGTCTCTTATCAGCTACAATTAACTTATCTTTTATATATTAAAAGGAAAAAACATAGAATGTATTATTATCCTTGACAAAGATGCCTCTACCTTCTTTCCTGGTTTCTTATCTGTGAAATGAAGGTGATAATGTGTATCATCTGTAGTGCTGTGGAGATGTCTACAAAGCCCTTAGTTAGTTAGTAGTTGGCTCATAGCAGGTGTTTGGTAAATAAATGTTTTTTGTTATAGTTATTGTCGTCATCATCTCTTCTTTATTAATGAAAGTCAAACATTTGTCACTTGTTTGTCAATTTCATATTTGGTTAATTATCATTTATTATACAAGATATTTTCTATATTTATTCAATATAAAGCTCCTTTGCCCTCAGAATGAGAGTCCAGGAAAAGCCTATTGGGAGTTGGGCATTTTCATCTGTTTTATTTTGGCTGTTCTGTTATCGTATCTCTTTTTTTCCTTCCCATAAGCTGAGTAAAAGCAGTGTTTATTTTATTTCAGTGCTTTCCCCCGACTTTGGACCTGCTTTGGGCTACTTGTAGGTAGCTTTCCTGCCTCTCCGGAAGAAACACTAGATTGGAGTGTCTGTCAGGGCTACCAAATTTCCCGAAAGAAGAGCCTGTGTTCCTGGCACTCAGCTAGCTAGCTGTTCTTTGTCCCTCCAGTTTAAGCCTGTGTGTTCCCATTCCACCTTCCTTCGTCTTCAGTTTTGTTCTTACATTGCTAGTGAAGGTTGGCCACTAACAGAATTCCAGGATGTCACAGATAAACAGGCAAAACACCACCAATTATCTCAGGTTTCTTATTTCTAAGAAAACTTGATTTAGTTCTTATCTTAATGTTTAATATAGAAGAATCAGAAATATTAATAACAATTAGTATTAATAATTTTCTTTTCTAATATCTCATTCTTAGAGCCAGATTTTTTTACTCTTATATTCTATACTATTTTATGTTTCCTTATTTAAAACATGGGCTCCACAGTGCACACCAGTGCTGTTCTTCCTGTGCTGGGCGCCGGAGCCTGACACTGGGCAGCGCTGGGTATTCCTTCTCTCTTCCAGGCCGGCCCTGAGGTCTCCTTTTTCAGCAGGTTGATTGAGCCAGCCCTGCCTCAGCCCTTTCTTTATTCAGCGGAACAAAGACTTACAGGCAGTGATCTCCTCCTTTGGCTTGTAGCCATACTGAACTATTTGGAAGTCTGACAGCCTTTTTTCTTTAGAAATTCAAAAAGAGGATTAAAACTTTCTTATAAAGATCAACGCTGAGGAATGCTGAGCTGCAAGAAAGACTTTATTCAGAGTTGTCAAATAAAAAAAGTACTTGAAATGCCATCTGCTTAAATCAGTTACTTCTTGTACTTCACAAATAATGTACTTTTTAAAAAGTAGAATTCAGTAAAATATAAAAAATGTGTATACTAAGTAATCAAACATTCTTGTTTGATAACTTCCTTCTGTAAATTCCAAGCGTTCAGCAGCCACTCTTCCTGGGGGTAGATTTCAAAGAAGGGTGAGAAAAGCAGGAAATATTTTTCCTAATGAGTGAGTCGCAGGGGAAGGAACATCTAGGGAGTGAGAGTAAGGGATGTGGCTGTAGCACTAGGGAAATACCTGGAAACTGGAAAAACTAATTTTGCTGGGCCTAAGTGATCATCTATGGCTTGCAAAGTATTAGGTACTGGGTTATGTGGAAGCCTATTGTGTTAAAAAGAAGACCCCTTAGCAATCTGTGTGAGTATATATAGAAAGAGGGATAAAATACATCTTTAAACACAATGTTAGAGACCCATTAGTACACTACCTTTTTTTCACTCTTCATTAATATGAAGAATATTTATGTTGATAGTCTTGCTCATTCACCGTGTGAATCATTTGTTGGCATAGTTAATTTTAAATACTAAAATATCTATTTCTCTTATGATTCTTTATTGTGTTCAGGGTATTGTGTCACTCTGTTTGCTGTTTGAAACTCTTCTTCAAACCTATCTCCCCCAGCTCTTCTATCATCTACGAGAGATTGGGGCTCAACCGTAAGTATTTTTCATTCCTAGTTGGAGAATAGTTTCACATCAGAAAGCCCTTTATTTATCATTGTAAAACACTTGCATAAATGGAGTAATTCTTCGGAGAAATGGAGCTAACAGTTTCCCCAATAAAACAATAACTGTTAAGTAGTGACTTGTAACAACATCGTGCCAAAAATTCTGAAAAGAATTACCAAAATCCTAATGAAGTCTTATTTACTAGGATTTTTGTATCTGGTACAAGAATCTCCAGAATGAACTAATTTCTATTCCAAATGAAAGATGTTAGCCAAAACTGAGGCAAATATTTGGGAAAATAAATACTATCTGAGAACTGTGATAATACTAAGTCAGCACAGACCAAATCAGAGAACCTGTGAAGACTGTCCAGTTTGCTGTCTCTTGTTGAAGAAAACACACTCAGCAACCCACCTATTATTCCACTTTGAATTTTATTGATTGATGTCGGTATCAGTTATGTATGGATAAGTAGAATAGGTCCGGACGTCAACATTATTTGTTCTGTTTCTCTTTTTCACTAACAATGTCTACAGCGACAGAAATTTCTAAATGATGTATCAAGGTTTGGTTCCTCTTTTCTCTGTAACTATTTTCTTCCCTATTAAGGAGAGCATATTTGAAAAGAGTAGGAACTTTTTGAGGCCACAAAGGAGTTAATGGGAAATGGAACAGTGTTGTATAATTATTTGTCTTCACACGGAATCCATTGCAGATGGATGGCTGAGTGGGTGGAAATTTAACCTAGATTCAATTTCCATTTCTGTGAAGCGCTATAATCCTAGGAAAATTATTTAATTTTTCTAAGCCACAATTTCTTTATTTTTAAATCAAAGTAATTCAGTTTCTTTATCTTAAAAATCAACAAAATTCCTGCCTCATAGAGTTGTTTCAAGATCAAATGATTATAAAAGTAGAGCTATCTTTCTTTATAAAGTACCATTGAATTTCAGATATTTTAGAAATGCACTGTGTAAAACAATACCTCGTGTCATCCATTGACAATACTGAACTGACGCTCTTTTCTTTGTGGCCATTAAAAAACAAAATTCTGTTCATGATTAAGATTATACAAGAATATGGCAGAAATAGTTTATATTGAACACAAAACTCTTTTTTTAAAACTTGAATTGACTTCTTTTGGCTATTGTGAAATGAACTCTGGACTATAACCAGACTTTTCTTTACTAGGATGAAGATATTTACAACATTGCTAGAAACTAAAATTTAAATTTTTTCTAGCCTATTTATATGTAGTATACTTTATTCATTAAAAGGAACTAATTTATTTCAGTGATTTATGATAAACATGAAAATTCATATGCAGGAGAACGTATGAAAGTTCTGATTGTCATTGTAGAAATCAATTTTTAAAAGGTTTTCATAGATGAAACTGATGTTGATGGAGGCTTTTTAATTTTGAATTTAATTTCTTTAATAGATGTAGGATTAACCAGGTTATTTCTTCTTGAACGGGCTTCACTAGTTTATGCATCTAACTTATTATATTTTCGACATAAAGTTATTCATAATTTCCTATTTTTTTAAATTTGTATTTTATCTTTTTTTTTCTTGAGACAGAGTCTTACTTTGTCATCCAGCCTAGAGTTCTGTGGTTTCAGCCTAGCTCACAGCAACCTCAAACTCCTGGGTTCAAGCAGTCCTCCTGCCTCAGCCTCCTGAGTAGCTGGGTTGCCACCACACCTAGCTCATTTTTCTATTTTTAGTAGAGACAGTGTATCATTTTGCTCAGGCTGGTCTTAAATTCCTGATGTCAAATGATCTTCCTGCCTCAGCCTCCCGGACTTTATTCTTAATTAGCTTCTTAACATTTATAGGATCAGTGGTAACTTCACCTCTCTTATTCCTGGGATGAGTATTTGTATTGTCTTTCTCTTTTTCTTAATTATTTTGGTAGAGGTTTATCAATTTTATTCATCCCTGAAAGAACCAGTTTGGTTCCATTGACTTTTCTCTGTTGATTTTGTGTTTTAATTTCATTGATTTCTGCTCTTGTGTTTATTATTTCCTTCCTTTTGCTGCTTAGGTTTATTTTGCTCTCGTGTTTCTCCTCTTTTACGGTGGAAGTTAGATCATTGATTTAGGAGCTTGCTTCTTTTTTTAATATAAGCATTGACTTTACCTGTATAAATGTCCCTCAAAGTAACCCTTTACTTCCACCCAACAAATTGTAATAGGTTATCTTTTTGTTCTTATTTCAAAATATTTTATAATTTCAAAATATTTTAGAATTTCTCATGAGTCCCTCTTTGAAAATGGGTTATATAAAACTTTAATTTCTAAATATTTGGAAAGATATCTTTCTGTTACTGATTTCTATTTTAATTCTGATGCAATTAGACAGCATGCTTCATAGGGTTTCAGTTCTTTTAAATTTGTTGAAGTATTCCTAACCCAGAATATGATCTGTCTTGGTGAATATATCATGTACACTTGAAAAGAATTTGTATTTTGCAAATGTTAGGCAGAATGTCCTATAGAGGTGAATGAGGTCGAGTTTGTTGGTAACATTGTTCAAGCCTTCTATACGTTTATTATTTTTTGTCTACTTTTTCTATTGATTTTTGAGAAATAAGTGTTAGAGTGTCTATTATGTAATTGTGAATTTTGCCTATTTCTTCCTTCATTGCTATATATGTTTTTACTTCATCTATTTGGAAGCTTTGTTTTTAGGAGAATTGATCCCTTTGTACTTTGTAATGTCCTTTTTTATTTCTGATAATAAATCATGTCTGGTATTAATGTAGCTGCCTTTGGATTATAATTTTCTTGATGTATTCTTCTTCTTTTACTTTTGATGTATTGATTACCAATATCTTTATTTTTCAAGTGGATTTCTTGTCAAAGGTATAGTTGGGCCTTTCTGTGTGGCAGTCTGTTTTCTAATTGGTGTGTTTATACATTTTATAATTAATGTTTATTAATATTACTTGATTGAAAACTTACTTAACAGAATTTGTATTTGTCACATTTGCTCTTTATTCCTTTTTTTCTCTTTCTCTGCTTACTTTTGAATTAAACATTTTTATTCCATTTTATCTCTACTGTTGGATTATTATTTATATATTTTTAGACATGTTTTTTGATAGATGTCATGGGGTTTACAGAATATGTCTTTATCACATTTACCTACAAATAAACTTGAGGCCCTTCACTGGCAAATTCTACTGAGCATTTCAAGAAGAAATATTATCAATGCTCATTTTTCTCTGACTGCTGTCAGGATCTTTGTTTTTAGTTCTCCCCAGTTTGATTATAACCTATCTAGGCATGGATTTCCTTGGGTTTATCCTATTTAGAGTTTGCTAAGGTTTTTGAATCAGTTTTCATCTACCATTCCTTCAGATATTTTTTCTGCGCCATACTCATTCTCATTTTCTTCTGGGATTCCAGTGTTACAAATGTTAAAACTTTGGGGATAAAAGAAAAATAAGAAAAAACTTGTAGTATTATCTCATAGGTCTTGAAGTTTTATTCATTTCTTTTACAGTCCTCTTTTCCCTGTGGTTCAGAGTGGACATTTTTATTGATAGATACTCAGCTTCCCTGAATCTTTCCCCAGTCATTTCCATTTTGCTATTGGATTCATCTAATAGAACAAAGTGCATGTAAGCAATGGTACAAAGCTTTTTGTGGGGTTTGTGGGTTTTGAGTTCTTGTATTTTTCGATTCTACAATTTCCATTTGATTCTTCTTCACAGAGACTCACAGAATTATAAATTAATAAGGATAAATTCTACTATACTGTAGTCCCCCTTATCTGTAGGGAATATGTTCCAAGATCACTATTTGATGTCTGAAACCCTGGATAATACCAAACCCTACACACACTATGTTTTTTCCTATACATACATATCTAAGATAAAGTTAGAATTATAAATTAGCCTCAGTAAGAGAGTTACAACAATAACTAATAATAGGATAGTTATAACAATATGCCATTCTCACTACTCTTCAATTTGGGGCCATTATTAAGTAAAATAAAGATTACTTGAACACAACACTGCAATACCAAAACGGTCAATCTGATAACCTATAAGGCCTCTAAGTCACTAACAGACAGGTGGCATATATAGTGTGGATACACTGGACAGAAAGGTGATTCATTTCTGGAGTGGGGATCATGCAAGATTTTCTTATCCTCCTCAGAACAGTAAACAATTTAAAACTTACGAATTGGCTCGGCACCCATAGTTCAGTGGTTAGGGTGCCAGCTATATACACTGGGGCTGCTAGGTTCAAACCCAGCCCAGGCCTGATGACAGCAACAGCAACAACAACAACAAAATAGCCAGGCATTGTGGCAGGTGCCTGTAGTCCCAGCTACTTGGGAGGGTGAGGCAAGAGAATCTCTTAAGCCCAAGAGTTTGAGCTGTGATGCCACAGCACTCTACCCAGAGTGACAGCTTGAGACTCTGTCTCAAAATAAATAAATAAATAAAAATAAAACTTCTGAGTTATTTATTTCTGGAATTTCCCGTCAATATTTTGTAACCACAGTTGACCGTGGATAACTGAAACTGCAGAAAACAAACTACAGATAAGGGGAGCATTACTGTATGTAAATTATACCTTAATAAACTTACTTCTGAAAACTGATGCTATACTATTTATATGTCTGGGGATAGGGATTGGGGTACTGTTCCTCTAATGTGACACTGTGAGAATTTGAGTAAAATGAAACCAATTGAAGTAATTTTAAGTATTAAGATATTCAGTGCCAAAAATTTCTTTTGCATCTATAAAGAGATATTTTAAAGCCAACCAAAAAAAACTTAATTTATCAATACTATTGCTTACATGTACTTTGTTATATTAGAACAACAATGATCCAGTATTTAGGAATTTCTAAAACTTGGGGATCTTTTTCAGCCTTTAGAGAATTAACACAATGACACTAACCAAGGAAGCTCTAGGTCCCTTATTCTCTTTAAGAGAATAGCACAGCTATTTACTGGAATAATAATAATTCCAGCAAAGAGTTTGGCTCGCTCCCCTCACAGATAGTCAAGTGATTTTTAGATGTTAATATAATACAAAAATGGAGGGACTAGTTTATCTCTTAAAGAGCCAGAGCCAAAGAGTTCATTTCCTGATTTCAGAGTTAAACTTTTGTTGTAACCTACTCACCAGTGGTGGGATCTCGCACATCTTAGACTGGTCTTTGTGGTTGTTGCTGTTTTTGTTTTAGTAAAACAGAATTCAGCTGAATTTTCTGGTTGACCTTTCAAGTTTGATGACCTCCTCACTAAAATGAAGAGTTTAAAATCAGAAATCTATTTATAAAATATAATCTATATTTCAAAACTCCAGCTGGTTATTTTATTTTATTCAGCCTATGTAGGACTGAAATGGAGAAAAATGATTTATTAAACTGAAAATATATGAAGCCATTGAACATTCTTTGAAGCATTTTGAATAAAAATTCAAGTTATTATGGTTTGCTTGGGATTGTTAAGACTATTAGAAGATAAACTCATTGATAGCTAATTCTTACACACTCTGAAAAACAGAATGTAGAGGTGGGTTTTATAAAGGCTGAGCTCTCACATAAAGAAGGGCTCAGCATATATATTCTTCTTAATACTTTAAGACCACTAATTAGAGCACTCATGGTTTCTGACCACTGTTCTTTTACAGCTTTTAAGAAAGTACTTGGGTTTTTTATACCTACATGCTTTCTAAGACTCTCAAAGGAGCTACCTTAACGATAGATTTGGTTAGGCTCTTCAAGATTTCATTGGTAAATTAATTTTTGTTCTTCTTTGCTTACAGACTTCGCATATCATTTAAGTGGATGGTTCGTGCTTTCTCTGGATACTTAGCTACAGATCAGCTCTTGCTTCTGTGGGATAGAATCCTGGGATACAACTCTCTGGAAATTCTTGCTGGTAAGAGTAAATGCTTTGTTTTAAGATGTGTGCTACTCCATAGCAAAAGTCCCCTTTCTTTCTAACATTCACCATCCGTAATTGGAGTTTGAGTCTACAGTTTTTTGCCATTTCTAATTCATAAACATTTAATACATTTATCTGGCTTTGAAGACAAGTGAGGTTCTGCAGTCTTGACACTTCTGCCTCACTGCCTAACACCGGCCTCTTCCTGGTCTTTCTTGCTGGCCCCCAGGAAGGCTCACGTTTTCCCTTTCTTGTCCTCCTTTCCTTTCTCCCTTGTGTAGTCCAGTCAGGGCTCACTATCCCCCAGCGCCTGTAAGGTCTGTGCAGTAGAGTGAGACCCATCTACTCTCTCCTCTGGCCTCCCCTGGCTGCCTTCATGTCTGTTCTCTGCTCTTCTCAGCTACCTCCATCCAAACTGAGACCAAGCCTCCTCACGTAGCTAGAATCTCAGCTCTTCTGGACCTCAGTTTATACTGAATTTAAAACTTCTAAAAGTTTAAAACTTTTTTTTTTCCTAGTCTCTGACTTCTGCCCTGGTAGCTGAGTTTTCTCTTTTAGAAATACCAAAAAATATCTCATCTTTTTTTCAGGAAGCCATACACTCACCTCTTACTTAATATTTAAGCAACTCTTCCAGTAGGTATATGCCCAGGGCAATTGCATAATAATACCTAAGGTACATATTTCTTATTAATTATATTATTTTGCTTCTCTTGTGTACAATAAACTCAGTAGTTTTTAATCACTGGAAATTCAGATAATAATTATTAGGTTTGCACAGCAATAGGTGGAGATCAGGAATCAAAAGCATTATAAAAATCTCCTCGCTGGGCTATTGTAGAACTAATGTTTAGTTGAAGAAGAGTAAGCTATGATGATTCTGTAGGTACTGTATTAACATCTTCCTGAATGCTGAGCGCTCTAGAGTAATTAGGGAGTGTTTTGAAAGTGAAAATTACAGTAATAGTAAAAGTACCCTGAAGATAAATGTCACCCCTACTGTAATCAGAGATATCACTAAGGCTTTTAACAACTCCTAGTATCTTTCTCTCTTTGGTTGTTTTTTTTTTTTTCAACCCACATAAGTATAAATTAAGAAAGAATAATCTGCCCTCATTTCTTTTGGCCAAATGGAAGTGACATATATATATATAATACAGAGATAGAAGGAATCTGAGAGGGCTTCAAGTCTTAACTTATTTTAAACATTCTGACAAGTAGTCTTTATCCTTTGTTTGAATACTTCACTGTCAAGTAATCCCTGTCTAGCCAGGTGGCCCATTTCATTTCTGGATAATACGACTTGTTAAAATGTACTCCTGTTAAACTAAGGTCATTATCATGTTTTTTCCTCCTCTTACATCCTCGCTTCTCCCCAAAGTCTTCTATTTTCTAAGCTAAATAGCCTTGTTTCGGCAGTCATTTCTCAAGTGACAGGATTTTAGACTTTCCACCAAATAATTCTCCTCTGAGTATGCCAGAAATACTGAAGAGTGCTTAATATAGCATTTGGCGTCATTTCTGAAAGACACTGAAGCCTGTTGAAGACGGGGGCTCAGTATAAGGCAGTACTTTCTAATAAGTAGGTCTTTCCAAAAGTAGAGTGTCACCTGAAGAAGGGTCAAGAGCCTTGTACCGGGAAAGAAATGTTGAATTAAAAACCTTCAAGGCCTCTTCCAACTTAAATTCTCTCATTTTGTCCCTTATTACCCTTTAGCAAACTGAGGGAAAGAGAAATAAATGTATATGGAATGCTGCGATTTCCTTAAGCCAGGCACTTTGCTATGAGCTCAATGTGTTAATAAACAAGTCACTGATGAATAGGTAGGAATGTAATTCATATTAAGGCCACTCACTTTCCCTGAGTGCTTTTTAAAAATCAAAAGGAAAAAATTCTGGAACATCTGGAAACAGAACTAGACTGACGGAAACTTTTCTACCATGGGATTCTGATAAGTGAGTCACAGGCTCCATCGTTTCATCTAGGTGTATGCAAATTAGCTTTGATAACTTCAAATATTTTTGGTATGAGTATTTTGGGGCCACCTTTTTTGTTCAAGTAAGTTATTATATAGTCTTCAGGAATATCTTAATAAATTTCACTGCTTTAATTGTGTATTTGAGCCTTTTCAGAACATTTCATAGCTAAAATGTCTTAATGTTCACGATAGAGTTGCTTACAATCAAAGTAATGAGAATAGTTTAAAAGACCAAAAGAAAACAGAGTTTCTACATTTCATGTGAAGCCACGATTTAAGTTGAAAATACCCCCAAGTATAGATCTTTTCTCCTTGGTAAACTACTCTGTTCTGCAGAAGGGCTGGGCAAACCAAACATGAAGCAGGCAGAAAGGAACTTCTGTGATGTGACACCAAGATAAATAAAGGCTATGAGCACATAATCATCTTGGATGCTGAGCGCAATTAGTGAACTGCACTTTACCCCCCTCTTATCTGCCCTTGGAAAAACAGTTTCTCACTATGTATAACTCTTTCCTGCTCCGGGAGAGAATTTGGCCAGCCCCTCAAGCTTCTGTGATTCTGTTCAGTTATACACAAAAAAGGAAATAGTGATTGTATTCCTCAGCTTCTAAAATGTCTTCACTATGCAAAATAACCCAGATCCTGCGAAGCTGTAAAAAACTGATGGTTCACAGAAATTGTTGTATGACATTCTTGTAATCATGAATTGAGAGACTTTAAAGGACTTAACAGATTGTTGACCGAGTTACCTGGTAACATGGACGGTTTCTGCATAAAATTGCCAGTCAACAACGTGTTAAGTTTTCTTCTTTTCAATTAAAGAGTAAATTCTTTGTCTGAGATCGCTTGGCTTGACTTTTTAACTTTTATCCTTACCATCTTTTTCTCTCCAGATTTTTTCTCTCTTGCTAGTTCTAATGTTACTTTGCCAGCTTATCCCCTAGAAAAGTACCTGTGCTTCCCAGTCGCTGGTTGATTCTGCTTCTATCTGGGGAAAT